CCCTTACCCGAGTATGTGCCCTTAATTTCGAAGGCTAGAAACAAAGTCCGAGGGGAGGATGATGAATCCCGGTGGACTTCAAGGGGACAAGTCTGGTAGGCTTTTCGAGGAAGAGTCAGGCCGATGTTCAGGGGGTTAGTCCGGCCGACGTAAGGAGGGTTCGTCGGCCGACGTAAGGAGGGTTAGTCCGGCCGACATAAGAGGATTAGTCCGGCCGATCATAGGGTTAGTCCGGCTGACATAAGGGATTAGTCCGGCCGACACAAAGGGGGTTCGTCGGCCGACGTAAGGAGGGTTAGTCCGGCCGATCATAGGGTTAGTCCGGCTGACATAAGAGGATTAGTCCGGCCAACACAAAGGGGGTTCGTCGGCCGACGTAAGGAGGGTTAGTCCGGCCGACATAAGAGGATTAGTCCGGCCGACATAAAGGATTAGTCTGCCGGACAATAGGGGCTTAGTCACCCGGAGAATAGGGGCTTTAGTCCGGCGACGTGGGGGACAGAAGCAGACAGGTGTAAGGACGGAAAAACAGGAAGTCTGAGGGGACAGAAGGACAGGACGTCCGAAAGGACAGAAGGACAGGAAGTCCGAGAGGACAGGATGTCCGAAAGGACAGAAGGACAGGATGTCCGAGAGGACAGGATGTCCGAGAGGACAGGAAGTCCGAGGGGACAGAAGCTAGAGTAAGACTACACTAGACAATGTCCAGAGTAGAAACTGACAGAGGTAGACTACCCGAAGGAGAGGCGGAGTATAGCCCGAGGAATCAATCCCAGGACACAGAGGTTGGACAGGGAAGTGGACCCGGGCCCATGGAAATGGATCCGGGTCCGAGGAAAAGGGATGAGGATAATCTCAGGTGATATTCAAACTCAGGAAACTACTACGAGTTTACAAGGTATTATATACTCGGAGATCCGGGTCAACAAGAGGAACATACGGAAAGGCTAAACTGACAGGCGCAAGGAAAATAATACAGGAACAATCGAGAACGGAGACGGAGATGAAGTATCGAATGGATCTGGGCATAGGAGGTATGATCGAGAATGAAGTCGGAATTAACTGTCAAACAGATCCGGGCATATAGGGGTTAGGACAAGGGGACTATACAAATGGGGTAACAGAATAGGAGCAGGACCGGAAATGAACTGTCAAGCGGATCACGGGAAATGGGGACGGAGATGAACTGTGAAGTGGATCCGATGTTTTAGGGGTTAAGTGGACCTGGGTCGAAGCTCAGGATTGAGTAGGTCCGATGTTTAGGGTCCGATGTATAGGATGTCCGACGAATACAGGAGGAGTGGACGAGTGGACGAGCGGGACGACATGAGTGAGATCCGACGAATAGGACGTCCGAAGAATAGGACGTCCGACGTATATGGGAAACAGGGCAGATCCTGCTGAGGGGTATGTCCGGTGGAGACTGGGATGCGGAGTTATCCTGCCAAGGGTTAAGGTATAGCTTGGCTACATTTTGGAGGTCCGGACATTGTTTGTTGGGAGAGATGGGATATGATTCAGGGGCTCAATGTACGGTATATGACACGGCCGCTACATATGGATTGTTGAGTATTGTAGGTCAGGTTCCGTGCCAGGAGGGACGATGGGCTGCGCAAAGCCAAACCGGCTACCAGATTGGCGGTGAGAAAAAGCGGGATGCATATTCGATACATCCAAGTCTTTCTTTGTTGCCTTACTAGTACCTTTCTTTCCCCCTGTTTTAGAAGTTGCAGGATCCTCCACTGTTTCCGAGACGGTATATGGTGGAGGGGTTTCTGTCGATGTTCAATATTAATATCTAACACCAACATAAACAGACCTGCCTTTGTGCGATTACCACGACCCTTACGAGGTGGTTCAGGTGCCAGAGGATTGGTTGGTACATCGATGTCAAGGGAGGTGGAGCCCTTGGGCTGAGTAGTCCGTGCCGGGGCATCCAAGAGAGCACCGATTTTTTCGAGTTGCTCAACCCTACCTCCTTTTCCTGCGCCAGAACGTCCAGAACGTCGAACTGACGGTTTGTCTGCAGAAATTGGCTCTTGCAACACCACGGATGCCTTGGCCCCAGCACGCGACTTCTTTGCAGAATTTGCTTGACCATCAGAATCTACAGCTTTACGCTTTGATTTCTTCTGGCTCGCACGAGGAGACATGACTGGACCACGCCACTAAGAGTAGAACTAGTGGTACGATCAGCACGAGAAAATCACTGATAGATACACACCGTTTTAAGGCTCGTAGTTTGACTCGTAATCGGGTCTCCAGTGCCGCATGCAGGTAATGTGGGAGAATCTTGCGAAACTGAATATAGCATCTTTCGGAAATATGAGTCGAGCGCTGCATGCAGGTAGAGATGGTGAGCTTGAACGTTGAGCGGAGGTAATGATGCATGCTTTATTTTACACAAAGTACAAAATGGGGATATCATGTGACTCATATACTTGCGCGCCGGTATCGGTATCGGATATCAAAGTGTAGTACATACTGGTAAATTTGAACTCTACCCAGTTTTGCTCCTCTTCGGCTTGGGTACAACTTCCATCGTCCAACGATGATCGACACTCGCTTCCGACGTGTGTCATCTACAGATAACTCACTGTCCTCATCACTGCCACTGGCGGTAGTAAACGAACCTGCCGCTGAGAGTATTACCCATTTGGAAACCAGGAGTTCAGGGGAGTCCTCCGAGGGCAGTGCAGCGATGTGCTTATCCAGCAATTGATTACGTCGTCAAAGACCAACTGCTTGGGGTTTTTAACGAGTTCATACCACGCTAAACGCGAGTGGAAGGAGAGATTTGAAGTAGGGGTCGAATTGTTGGCGAGTTCCATAGTGTAGTGGTCAGATTGATGAAAAAATCGAGTCTTGCTGTCCCCGCACTTTTGGTACGTCGACGCGGACCATTCTCCTGTTATCCATTTCACTTTTTGATTTGAATGTGGGAGAGTCGTAGGGAGAACACACTTCATGCCGAGAGGGCCCCTGAACTCAATGCAGACCCAGATGAACACATAAAACATCGACTCCAGATCGTCGTTGTAGACATGCGTGATCATGGGGGCTGGGTATGCTTTCGATCCCGAGGCTCGTGTACCCATGCGCTCATCCGACGGATCCGGTGTATTGAGATAAAGCTGGAAGAGAAGGGATCGCGACATGAACGGTATTGTGCCCTGAGGTTATGAGGTATTAATTCATATATAGATCCTGGAAAGAAACCAAAACACTAACGGTGCCCCCGACACTGTATTTATCGCCTCGTACGATATCTACAGCAAACTCCCAATCTATCAACATCCCGCCATCATCATCCCCAATCATCGCGTTGTTCAAACTGCAATCACGATGAAGGATATGCCTCTGCTCTACCGCAAACTTCTGGACTGAAAATATTGTGAGTGGAACGGTTAGGTACATACAATCAAAAATCACTTACCCTTCAAGATGTCCCGTATCGCAGTCAAGAACTCCGAACGTGAACGGAATTGATACAAGGGTCGCGCACGGGGCTTCAAAACCATGCGAACATGCGTACGGGAGGTGCCCTGTAAGCTGCGCGTGATCTTTTGACGATACTTCACCGTCTCGTCAACCTCGCCAGGCTCCATCTCCACAAGCCAATATTCAACAAGGCGAGGAACACCACGGAGCCCATCCATCTTCTTCATCATACGAATTTCGTTGAGGACCTCCGATTCACTGCCAAGAACCCAGTGATCTTTGATTATGTACTCTTCATCGTCCTTCCTGGCCAGATAGCACGTCGTGCCACGACCAACGAGGCCTTGCGTGGAGAATATTAGATCGAGTATATCGTACGTGTTTTCATTTACTCGTATTTTTCCGATTGGCTCTGGGAGGGGTTCACGGAGAGGATCAACAGGGACTTCGTCTACGGGGGGGACCATGCTTGGAGGGATGTTGGCTGCAGGTTTGCGCTCCGCATCCTCTGTGGTGTATGGGGGTTTGTTCACGATCTCTTCAATTGTGGTGGTCTCGCTTTCCACGATCAGTGCATCTGGGATTGCTAAGGTAGCAGTCTGGTGCGGAGCAGGTGAGCGTGAGTGTTTGGCGGGGCGGAAATCAGGGGGTCGATGCGTGCGGTGAAGTGTGTGTTTCAATATACTGATCGTGGGGTCGAACCCGATGCACTCGAGATTGCCGAAGACAATGGACGAAAAAATCTGTAAGAACTTGTCTGGCTCTCGATCGATGTTTATGCAAGGGCTGACAACACCACCCGAGTGGTCATATAGATGGACGCGAAGCTCGCGATACCCATTGCAGATGGAGACCAACAGTGCGAAGCGTCTCCACGGTTGGTGTTTGAGAAGCAGATACGCCTTGGAGTCGAGAGTTTTGGCAAGGGGATTTGAAGGTAAGTAGGCACTCGAAGTCAGCTCGCATACGGCCTTGATTGTGTCCCATCTAGCCTCGATATCATCGAGTAAGGTGAGGTCTGGTTTGCGCGCCATTGCATCGCCGGGTACTGGGCGTGAGGAGTTTGATGCGCTCCAGACACGAGATAAGATGCGCTTCTGAGCGAGTTCAGGCCGTCGCAGGAGGAGGGCGATGGAAAGGACATTGTAAAAGGATGCAAAAATCTGTTCCGTTGTCCATGGCTGGAGTACTGTGGTTCTGCCACCACTGTCACTTTCGTGTTGGACACTGGCAGAGCTGGCATTCATAGACTCGGACATTTCGTCATCCTCAGGCTGGCTAGAGGCAACAGGTGTACCAGTGTCATCGACGAAAATCCAATCTCCCGACTTCTCATTCGTAGTTCCACTAGTTTCTCCTTCCCTCTCTTCATGGTCCGTTCTTCTCTTCTCTCCTGCCCGCTTACTTTTTTGTCCAGGAAGTTTGTCTAAATGTGACTCTGGGAGTGGCCAGTTCCAACAGCGTGCTTGCGTGTCATAAAGCGGTACGAGGATTGATTCATTTTGAATTTGCTGAAATGCTTCGACCCTGGTATCGGGGTGGATTTTCTTCAACGAAACTTGAAGATCCTTTGCTTTTGGGACCTTGCGGTTATAGGACTTGAAGATCAATGATAATACATGGCCAAGCTCATCACTGTTGGCAGGTGGAGATTCCTGCAAGATCAAGCGAATAAGTTCCGAGCTGGTCAGTTTACTCATTGTCGGTACATTGTGAACCTCTGGAGCTGACATCAAGGATGCCAACTTCATCCCGAGGCCCCCAGAACAAAAATGCCTACCAAGTGGCATGAGGGAGTGCTAGTGCTGTGTGTACAGGTACGAAAATATTGTATTTGACGCTTTCTTTACTAGTCTACAAAAATGGCCTTATATTGCATCAAATGATAGCGCAAAGAAGGCGCTTTTATCCAGAAACTCGTTCAACCAAAACTCCGTGGCATGCTCCAAACTGTTGTACGCTGTGAGACGCTTGTCAGCAGTAGCGCCAAAACGAGGTACAAGTTGAACAGGAGCCCTCAATTGAGATAACGGAATAACATCGCCCATCCGGTTTCCATTTGAGTGTTTCGCTCGCTTGAGTATATGAAGGTGTGTTGTTGGATCGCGATCATTTGAGAGATCAAAACATTGAACATATGTGAGGAACCGATCCTTCCAAGACCATAGTAAACCACTCTTGCCAATGGGTCGCATAATGAGTCTAATCTGCGCTGATTGTGTGACCTGTAACAGTTGAGCTTTAAATGATTTATTGTAACGCAAAACAGAAAGCGCACCTGAAAGACGACTACTGGGCCATGAGAAGCCCGCACTGGTCTCGGCAATGACTGTATCATAGTGGCCCAAGATCCACGGGTCATTTGGTGGTGCAAAGTTTAGCGTCTGAGCTGGTTTGATGGCGTGAGTGTCATGTAAATCCATCTCTTGCAAGCGAATTTTAAACCAGACTTGAACTTTGTCAAATGGGAGGACGGCACCAGGTCCAGCCCTTCTAGGGCCACCTATTGCATGAACATGCCGTTGTCCATAAGTTGCCTCACGTTGAAGGAAATCAGCTATGGCTTGTCGTAGATCTGGTAAGCCGAATGTGATAGCGACTTCATCAACAGTGATGCTCTGAATGGAGGGGTCATATGAAAGATGAAAGGCAGTAGATTTGTTGACAAAGGAGCGAAGTGGTACAGGAACGGAACCCACTTCTCAGTACTGGAGTGCCTTAGCAATCACGAAATAATTCGTAATTTGGTGTGGGTGTCGGGTTGGGTCAATGGGATTATCTTGTGTGTCGACGTCAATGTCGATCTCTTCAGCATCCAAGTCCAACCCCTCTTCCTCAACCCTCTGCTCGTGATCCAACAGGCCGGTAGCGAGCTCAAAACGACGACACTTTTCGGCGCAATCGAGGTATCAACAAATTTGTGTGTCATAATTGTTGTTATTGCTCGATCTAGCGGGGTCTTTGATCTCTGTAATGTGGGCGTGTTCAGTGATGTCGGCAGACCACTGTCCTATGACGCCAGAGTTACGAATGCTGGGAACGATACTATGCATTAGCTCCAGCTTGGGGATGTAAAAGTTGTTGATGACTCTATTACCCTTCCCCTGATGAACCCCGGCAGCAATGATTGCATCCTTGTTTGCGTGGAACTCATTTAGTGCACGTGAGATGCGCCCGAGATCTTCCTCATCAATGCGCGGCGACTGTACGAGATATCGGAACTGCATGAGCGCCCGTAAAGCAGCAATGACACCAGCAGGTGCTGCATCCGCACTGACAGCGATGATATACCGTTGAATGTCTCGCTGACAGCGACCGGTGACTTGTTTCAGCTTGGAGATGCCACCATGAAAACGCCGATGACCGGTGATGGGCTGCAACACTGAAAATCGGAAATCAATTTCGGAATCTCCAACAGCGTTAATGAGCCATTGGGCATCGTGGTCAAAGAACACTTTATGAAGATGGTGGAGTGATTCTGGTGTCAAAAAACGGGAGGGGTCTGCTAGTATGTAGTCCACCAGAATGGCTTGTCGACGCCATTCAGTCGGAACTTCTGTGCCTCGCGGAAAAACACCTCAATATCATTGGGATCAGCGCGCGAGCGCACAACAGCAAGCTGTGCAAGAGTCGTCGATTTCATCCGGGGTTCATGACGGAATGCATCCCCGAACCGCTTATACATCACCATCGTCACTGGCGACGTTTTTCCACCAACAGTTGCCAGCATCATGGCCTCGGGGGTGTCAGCGATATAGCTCGCGAGAGTGGTGAAGCAATACCGACTGTGTCCGGTAGGATCAGACAGCATGACACCACGTTGAGCGGCCTGCTTGAGTGGTTCGAGAATGATATTGAGGCATTCATGTATCAGTCGATCCTCCAATACGCCCTTCATTCGCTTCTTCTTGTGAATACACTTGGGGACTGGTAACAGAGCAGCGAGAACAAAAGAGTTGGTTGATGATTTTAGGCATATGTTCATATGTATATTGGCGAGGCTAATTAGAAGCGGATGAGCCACGCGATCCCCTGTTAATGCACTGATATTCGTCTTGTCGGAGGAGAGAATGGTGCCGAGGAGGGTTGCGCCCTTTGGTATCGCCAACTTCAAGGATATTTGAGTGCCAGACCTCAATAACTGACTATCTACTCACCTGCATGTCCCATGCATCGTTTCCTGACATCCATCCAGCATATATGCGACACAACCTCTCTGCAGTAGAGTAAATCTTGTGAGGTGTGAAGTCGATATGATTTTGAAATAGTGGGTGATTGAAGATGCTGGCGATACATTCAATAGGGTCGCGCCAGTACAGAATTACAGGCGATTTCGTAGGATGCAATGTATGAATTACTTGAGACTTCCAGTGCGGACCGCTGGGGAGCATCTCAGCTCTACCGCGTAATTATTTGGCAGAGTGAAACGACAAGGGTAAATCCTTGATCTAAAAAGACGTGAATCATAAGCAATAAAAGTGAGATATACGCACTGACCATTTCAAGCGATAGAAAAGAGTCAATCTTGCCCATGCTCAGGCCTGAACGTAGCAGCCATGCTGCAACTTGCCAATCTCTTCGGCTGCTAAACGGATAGTAGAGATTCATTTTCCGATATACACTGTTTTCGTCTGCATCAAACAGCCCCAAAAATGTGTAGCCATCCTCATAGGCCAGAGGAGGCTCTGGAAAATAGTTGGTTACTTTGCGCACTTCATGACCCGCAGTTCCCTCAGGTATATCCTTGTCTTCTCCTCCACCATAGAAATCATGAAAACTTTCCTCGCCTCCAAGTCCCGGATCGTTGTTAGAAATATTGATGTCATCTGCTGAGTCCATGTTATGATCTTCACTCAGGCTGGGCGAAATGGAGTTAATCATGTCGTCTAACCACGTGTTGCATCCAGACCGAGGCTGGCTTAGATGATGAGCAACAGAAGTACGGTCTTTAAACGCTTTGCCGCATGAGGGGCAGCTTGAATGCGACATAAGTCATACTAAGAAACAAATCATAATAATATCAGTAAGTATCGGGTGATATCGGCATTTCCCGAAACTGTACTCAATACACCATGACCATCAATCTGCGCGCATTATCAACAAGGGCGTCGGGCCTAGTGGACAACATTCTTGATCCACATCATCAACACCATGATGACACGAAACCAGGGACGCACGGGATGGACCCTTACGAACTTCTTCCAGCTATTACTTCCTTGGTAAAGTCAATTGTCTATTTCTCGTTTTCATAATGCACCTTAAATTTTATCAGTCTATACAGAAACCAGCCAATTCTGAAGCAAACCTTGTTATGGACCTTGCACGAGCCAAACGTGAAGTACTTCGGGCACAGAAGGCACTTGCGGAGTGTTTACTAGGGGAAAATGAAGTATTGGCAAGCTTGCTCAGGCTTCGAGTGGATACCGCAGAGAACACTCTAGATGATGCAGACATGGGCCTGGGGTGTATGAGACTTGCCTTCAGACAGCATGGCTGGTCTCATTGTCCCTTATCTGCAAAACAATGTGAAGGTGATCAGCGCGCCGGTAAGTTTATGATCTGTGAGAGACAACTATCGTCCTTATCAATCCCTCAGCTACTACGAGAGAAGTCCCAAACGATTGCATTCTCACTATCCAGCTTGATTAATTCGTTTGCCACGGATGGTCGAGAGTTGGTACAATTTTGCATTTATAGATATTCACCTTGTGTCCTACTAGTATTAGCATACATATATGTACTTGTGTGCTCGCTGTCCCTTCCAGTTCTATATACAAATTGTGTTTTGTGCTGTTGTTATTTCAGTGTTGAATTAGATTTTGCCGCATTGTTTGAAGTCCATCCACAGTCTGAAATACAATAGACTTCACATTTCAATGATATTACTAGGTATATTACTAGTAGCTATTCGGACTTGAACTCCTTGACTTTCAAATGCAAAGTCCTGTGAGCCGTGTAGAACTATGAGTGATTGTAACAAATGTATACCTGGGTGCACTATTTTTCTGTGACTCTTGGCGGAACTGTGAAATCTGTGAGTGATTGTAACAAATGTGTACCTTGTAGCACTGTTTTGCTGTGACTCTTGGCGGAACTGTGAAATCTGTGATTGGCTGTCGTGGGAACACAAATCTTGTGCTTTCTGTGCGAAAAGTTGTAGTTTGCTGATGCCTGCCAACGCCCGTCTATTGTAAGCAAAAGTGTGAATTACAAGCCTGAGAAGCAAAAGTCGCGCTCTCAAGATCAAAGGTTGCAGGGTTTTGGAAGATTCGAGGCTGGATGTGTGCGATGGCTGGTACACGGGCCCCACTGGGGTTGTTCAACTTGATTCAATTTGGCACGAGTCCATTCGACCTAGCCAAGCAGACCATTCCGAATTTGTGCACCAACATTGAAAAAACTATCAAGGTAAGACTGGCGCAAGCAGTAATTAGTAATTGTAATGTGACGTTGAGTTGTATTGACCACACGGATCACAAGAGCTGAATTGGTTGAAGCACAGACCGACTTGTAAGTTGTGTGTGTTGGTCCTCGTTTGTTTGTTTCGAAGTTCAGCATGTGTTATAACTTATTACGAACCAAATTATATACCAAAATTTGGTGTCAAAATGTTCATTGTCGTTGTCGATGGTAGAGGCTAGGAGCCGCGGCTCAGGCCGTCGGCTTTGGCTTTTCAGAATTCCAAGCCGGGCCATGCACATCACTATCTGAGGGGATTATGAAGAAATGAAAATGCAAAAAGAATGATCACATTATCATCGTGTTCTCATCATATTATGGTCGTATTCTGGAGGAAATTCTCACTCGTTGTAATTTCAAGGGCCCACTTTAGGTACTGTGCGCGCACCCCAAAACTTGTTGCAGGTAGATGATATATGCCCCAACGAGAACACATAGCAAAGAGAATCCATTGATATTGCATTTCTATACATACAACCAGAACTTGAGCACCATCAGAGGGCTAATGTCATAGATGCCCCCATGGCTGTATAGAGACTAGACACAGTTAGAGACCTCAGTCGTAGTGGAACGAACTAAGATTAATGTACCTAGACACAGTTAGAGACTATATGTACTCGTAAGTGTCTGGCGGTACAGATATAAAAGAACCAAACTTACCCTCAGTCGTAGTGGAATGAACTGAGGGATAAGAGCGGGAAGACGTTGACTATATGCGTCAGTATTCCTAATATTCAACTCCGCTTGTCGCGTCGCACAATGGCACGAGCTCACGTGCTCCAACACTCCTCCTCGACGCGACGAGTACTCCTCCTCGATTTCAACACTGAATGCCCAAGCACGCGCGTAGTCGCTGGAAGTCCTTGCGTGGGAGTGCCTTGGTGAAGATATCCGCAACATTGTCCTTAGATTTGACGTAGTGTAGTTTCAGTTGGCCGCGTGATACGCGTTCGCGAATAGCATGAACTTTGATGTCGATGTGTTTTACTTTTGAGTGATAGGATGCGTCCTCTGAGAGAGTGATGCCGCCAGTGTTATCGCATAGAAGAGGGGTCGCGGATGGTTGCGTAAATTTGATCTCGTTGAGTAGAGTGCGCAACCATGCAAGTTCCTGAGAGGCTTCGGATGCAGCTACGTACTCGGCTTCGCATGTTGAGAGCGACACGGTCTTTTGCTGGCGGGCGCTCCAGGTGACGACTCCACTGCCTAAAGAGAAACAATAACTGCTGACAGACCGTCTGGTATCGGGGCAGTTAGCCAGGTCGCTATCGGTGAAACCAAGAAGGCGTGCGTTGTGTTCACCGCCGAGGACCAGTGTAGCGTCTCGAGAACCTTTCAAGTAGTGTACTACCCTTTTGGCTGCCTCCCAATGTACTGGGCCATAGCAGTCTAGATGCCGAGACAGTTGTTGGACTGCATGCGCTATGTCGGGTCGTGTTCCAATCGCAAGATACATCAAAGAACCGACGAGTGACCTGTATGGCGTTCGTGACATAAGGTCTCATTCAGTATCATTGGAAGGGGCGTGAGTACGACGAGAGAGATGAAGCCCTGTTTCCATTGGGGTGGATATGGGCACAGCGTCCTTGAGACCAAATTGCGTGATAATACGATCAATGAGCGCTGTTTGTGACAGTTGGATGGTGCGATTAAGTCGGTTTCTGTTGAGAGCGATCCCGAGACAAAAGTGTGCTTCACCAAGGTCGGATACCGTCCATTTCGTATGAAGCTGGTCTTTGAAGATCGAGATGGCTTTCTTAGTGCTTCCAACAGTGAGGAAATCGTCCACGTGGACTGCGACAAGGGGAATGCCGGCGTCAGTGCGCCGATAGTAGATACAGTGCTCGCATTTTAGTCGACGAAATCCCCAGGACAGCATAGCGTCATTCATGGTGCGATTCCAGACGAGTCCACCTTGTTTCATGCCGTAGAGACCTTTCTGTAGTTCCCAGACCCAGTCCTCCTTCCCTTGTTCGACGAAACCCTCCGGTTACTCCATGTAGCAGAGTTCGTCGGATTCGAGAAGTCCATGAAGAAACGCGGTTTTGATGTTGAGTTGGTCTATTTCCCAGTCGAGGGCAGCGCCGATATGCATGAGGATGCGGAAAGATTCTAGTCGGGCTGTAGGAGCAGATGTTTTAGTATAATCTTGCCCCCATACCGCTGAGTACCCACGGCAAACATATCGTGCTTTGAATCTAACTGGTTTGCTGTCGTGATCACGTTTCAGCTTAAAAATGGGATGGCCTCGCATAATTTTACGACCGGGAGGGATAGATGATTGAGGGACGAGTTTGTAGACGCCTAGTTCACGTAGTGATTCGAACTCCTCCTGGAGTGCCTTGGTCCAATCGCGTGCATTGTCAGATGCCATGGCCTCTGCATATGTGGTAGGATCGTCGGCGAATTCGTGTTCGAGGTGATCGGGCATGGCTGAGAAAAGGTCAGCAAGGTGCGCAAGTTCATCTGCTGAAACGATGGCTGCCAGGGCATCTTCCTCTGATAGAGAGGTAGGTGATAGAGCCTTTAAGTGTTCGGCTGACGCGAGCGAATCCAGTACCACACGCTGTGTTGTAGAGAGGTAAGGTTTGCCGTCCAGGGCGCATTGTTGTTCGGATGGGATTGGTGTGCGGGTAGAATGTTGAGGCTGAGCTGGTAGAGGTGGGGGTGGTAAATGCTGTGGTCGATCTATGTCCGGGACTTCCTCAATGCTAACAGAACGTGTGGGAGCATTAGCTGCGCGCTGTATAGCATCAGTATCAGGTAGATTGACGGAAGGTGGAGGGGGGGAGCCAAGCTGATGTGACTCAATGAACGATACATGGAAGGATGTAAAGACCTTCTGTGATGCACGATGAAAACATCGGTAGGCTTTCGAGTTAGGCGAGTACCCAATTAGTATACATTCAACAGAGTGGTCGTATCGTAAACCTTTGGATTGTGGTGGTTCTGAATCAGCACAAACGCTCGACAGCCTATTTCGCGTAGATGCGATAAATCTGGTTTGGTGCCTTCCCAACGTTCGAATGGAGTATGACCTGCTTGCGAAGAGACTGGTGTACGATTCGTGAGATAGCACGCAGTAAGCACAAATTCATCCCATCGATTGATGGGGACGTTGCAAGCAGTGCGCATGGAACGAGCCTTACCAATCAATGTGCGGTGGAGGCGCTCTACTCTACCATTCTGGGCGGAGGTGTATGGCGCAGTAAATTGATGTTGAGTACCACGCGATGTACCAAACATTCCGGCGCCAGCCTCACAATCGCCCATTAG